AGGCTGCCCTCGGCACCATCCGCTTACGTGAGCTCTCACAGGTCGTGCAGGGCGCCGGGGCTGGGCAGGACTCTGGGCTGTAGGGCTTGAAGCTAATGCCAAGGACGCTTTCTCGGGGCTTTGCAGGTCGGGCACCGAAGATGCTGCTGCCTGTGGAGGCATGGAGGCTGGGAAGGACACTGCTGGGCTCTGCCGTGGGCTGCGAGCAGATGAGACCGTTACTGGCAATGACCGTGGCCCACTGGAAAGTCCCCACGGCCGCCAGCCCACCGCCCAGGCAGCCATGAAGGTGACGCGGAGCTGAGCTCCCCGACATAGTGCCGAGCTCCCCTGCACAGCCAGCCTTTGCCGCTGGCGGCTATTCCTCCCCGGGGCCACGAACTGCACAGCAAGTTACCGCTGCGGTGTCTCTTTCTGTACTGCAAAGCCTGAGCCATGTCCCACCTGGGACAGCTGAAAACCTCGCTGTTGCAGAGCTTTTCCCCTTTAGGTGGCTGTTGGCCAAATTTCCCAGACCGATAGCTTCAATCAGAGCCCTCAGCCGGTTATTTGGCATTGGGTCAGTCATGCTGTGGCCCCAGATCCACGGGGCTAGTGCCCCAATTTATGCATCTATCCTTAATTAGCCATTTGAAAAATACAGTGCAATTTCCAGCTGTTATTTAGTAATACTTAATCATCAGTGTTTTCCAAGCCCTGAAACGTCCTGCACCCTGGAATGCTGTCCTGCAATTGTGTCACTCCTGATCCATGAATTTGCAAAAGAATGTGTTTGTTTCCTTTCCTCAAGACATACTCTTCCAAGCACTCCATCAGCTTCCATCAGCCACATGAGCAAGAGCCTCTCATTTGCCTTCAGAGAGGACCTGTGTACAGAGCCCACCATAAATGGGGTTTCCTCTGCCACTGAAACTTCATTTGTAAAAATCTCAGCTACACCTTTGGCCGTAAGAACTGTCCGCATGCCTTCCAGAAGCTGCCAGAGCAGGGCCAGCCAGCACGCGGCAGCGCCAGCCCGGCCTGGGCTTCTGTCTCGGAGGCGCTCGCCACGCTGCCTCGCTCCTCCCGCCCGCCTCCTCCCGGCGCTGCTCCCGCTGCCGCAGCGCCCCGGCA